ATACACCGAAACCAAGCGCACACGGCACAGCACTAATTTTCTCCAAAAGCAGACCTCAACCAGAGAGGCGTCTTAATAAACGCTCCTCTCTGAAACCCTTTCCTTCTTTTCTCCCATCTCGATCTTCCTTCTTCCTCCGCCACAATGAGAGAATGCATTTCAATCCACATCGGCCAGGCTGGCATTCAGGTCGGAAACGCCTGCTGGGAGCTTTATTGCCTCGAACACGGCATTCAGGTCTCATTTCTCAAACCAAATCTCTGCATTTTTTTTAAAACTAAATTTCTTCATATGCTCATTCTCGATCTATCATCTGCATCTGAACCATGCGCTTCTTCCCGTTTTTTCTACCTACATCTGTTTGTCGTTTGCGGGTATTATTTGCGTTTCGTCCTTTATTGCTTCAGCGATTTGCCGATCTGTATGCACTCTATGTTTTTGTGAACATTTTTTTGTTCATCTTGGTCCGATTGATTCCCAGGTGTACGTGTACGCTATGTATTTTGTAAACATTTGCTTCCGGTTCGGTATTGTTCAAATGTTTTGGTACATAAACTTGTAATAACGCCTATTTTAATTTTAATTTTAATTTTGTTTATATTTATCATTAGATTTCTAATGGGCAAAAAACTTAGATGCATTTCCTTAAGTGTTTTTTGGCCTATTGACTTAATTTATGCTTACTGTTGTGGAAATCAAAATTTGACTGGAAAGTACCTAAGAAAATGCAGTTTTGTCTATTCCAACTCTGTTAATTGTTAGGTTTAAAATGCTGGCTGTGCAGCAAGGATTCCACTCTGGTAATAATTTTCTGGAAGAGAAACACATGGTTTGGTTGTTTAATTAACATCATATTATTTTTGTTTTCTTTTAATATTGTCTTGGCTTGGAAATCTGAATGTAGTCTGGTGGAGGAAATCTAGTAACACATTTTTCAACAATATCTTTTGAACAAACACATTCTCTTTTTAAGAATAGAAGGACAAATTGAAAACCGCATTTATTAAGCTGTGATGCATTTGTGTTTGTTCAGCCTGATGGCCAGATGCCGAGTGATAAGACCGTTGGAGGAGGCGATGATGCTTTCAACACCTTCTTCAGTGAGACTGGGGCTGGAAAGCATGTTCCTCGTGCGATTTTTGTAGATCTCGAGCCCACTGTAATCGATGAAGTTAGGACCGGAACATACCGCCAACTCTTCCATCCTGAGCAGCTCATCAGCGGAAAGGAGGACGCGGCAAACAACTTTGCTCGTGGCCACTATACCAGTAATGCTACTCCTTTCCTTTTTTGCTTCACATACAATGTTTTTGCAATTTTACTGGATTAATTGAATATCGAATTCTAAGAAGGGTGTTTTTGGTTCAGTTGGAAAGGAGATTGTTGAGCTTTGCTTGGACCGCATCAGAAAGCTTGCTGACAACTGCACTGGTCTCCAGGGTTTTCTGGTTTTTAATGCTGTAGGTGGGGGAACTGGTTCTGGTCTTGGTTCCCTTTTGCTGGAGCGTCTTTCTGTGGACTATGGGAAGAAGTCCAAGCTTGGTTTCACTGTCTATCCTTCACCCCAAGTTTCAACCTCTGTTGTTGAGCCTTACAACAGTGTCCTCTCTACCCATTCCCTTCTTGAGCACACTGATGTGGCTGTTCTGCTCGACAACGAAGCCATTTATGACATATGCAGGCGTTCACTTGACATTGAGAGACCAACCTACACTAACCTCAATCGTTTAGTTTCTCAGGTATTGTTATTTCAAGAATTTGAAATAACTAGTTCTTGTGTTGTGATGTGATGTGATATGCTATGCCTCTTTAACTTTCCCTTGGTTTATTCAGGTGATATCCTCACTGACTGCTTCCCTGAGGTTTGATGGTGCCTTGAACGTTGATGTTAATGAATTCCAGACTAATCTAGTGCCATACCCCAGGATCCACTTTATGCTGTCATCTTATGCTCCTGTGATTTCAGCTGAGAAGGCTCACCATGAGCAGCTATCAGTTGGTGAAATCACCAACAGCGCGTTTGAGCCATCGTCTATGATGGCCAAGTGTGATCCGCGCCATGGTAAATACATGGCTTGCTGTCTCATGTACAGAGGTGATGTGGTTCCTAAAGATGTTAATGCAGCTGTGGGAATTATCAAGACCAAGCGCACTATTCAATTTGTTGACTGGTGCCCAACTGGGTTCAAGTGTGGAATCAATTACCAGCCTCCAACTGTTGTTCCAGGTGGTGATCTTGCCAAGGTGCAGAGAGCTGTGTGCATGATCTCGAATTCCACCAGTGTTGTTGAGGTTTTCTCTCGCATTGACCAAAAATTTGACCTTATGTATGCCAAGAGGGCGTTTGTACATTGGTATGTTGGTGAGGGTATGGAAGAAGGAGAGTTCTCTGAGGCTCGTGAAGATCTTGCTGCCCTAGAGAAAGATTATGAAGAAGTCGGTGCAGAGGCTGCTGACGGTGAAGATGAAGAGGGAGATGAATATTGATCAGCAGAAGTTTGCACTGTTATGTTATATTTTTTTTCTTACAAAGCTGTAATGTTACCTTGTCTGTGTTGTTTTTCTTTTCTTGCTCAGTCTATGGTTTGTTCTTTTCAGGGAACTTACCCTGTTCCTTACTGAGGGATATTGGTATAGCCTATTCTTGGCTTAAAAAATTACTTGGTTAACAGTTAAAATTTAGCATTTAAAAAATAATTAAATAGTTATTTGTAATTTGTTTTTGCTTAAAAATATCCTTTAGAGATAAACTTTGTTTGAGAAAATATATTTTCAATCAAACTGTAAAAATATAATTTTTTTCTAATACAATTATTTCTTGATAATAGGTGTCTTATATAGATATATTTTAAACTTTAAATTTTTGAAATGTATAAGTTTACTTTAATTAATTAATGATTTGAAAATAGTTTATTATATTTAATATTATTATAAATATAAATATTAAATAAAAAATGTTCTAAAAAAATTAAATAAAATGAAAATAATTATACTAAAACTATTTACCAAAGAATATCTCTGAAGCTTCGAAACTTCTCCTTCAATCTATAAGATAAAACTGCTCCATCTAATCAAAATAAGACAGCAGCTTACAAAATAAAAAAATGGTAGTACAAAAGTTGTTTTTACAACTTATAAAGATATCAAAATATAAAATGAATTTCAATTACTCGATTGTTATGAGTTTAAATGTTTGAAGTTTGTAATAAAAACATAAAATAAATATACAAGCGTGTAATAGATTTAAGTTCGAAAACATATTATTTAAAAACATATTCTTGATCGGTTAAAATACTTTGAAAAAAAAATCTAAAATCATCCTAGTATTGTATGCTATTGAGAAATGATTATTACTATATTATAATTAGATAAATGTCACATCATAATTAAGAAGACGGTAACCTTTAATATATATTCACCAAAATTTATCAAATCCACCTATTTATTGTAAAAAAAAAACATGTTTAATTCGATAAATCCCTTTAAAAGGTGGAGGAATCAGGTTTCGTAAAAAAATTTATAATTTAAATTAAATTAAATTTATTTTGATTTAATTTATGGGTTTAAGTAATTGACTTATAAATTAATGGATGGATTTATTTTATAAAATAATAATTATTAAAAAAATAATAGTATTATATTAAAAATATATATTATAAAATATTTGATGAAATATTTTATTTATTTTAAGAATAAATATTAGAATAAATTCTTAATAATATTTTATTTTAAAATTTAATAATTAAGATTAATTATTAGATAAAAAATATAATTTTAATTTTATATTTGAAATTGAATGAATTTATTATCGTATTATTTATATATTAAAATTATTATAATTAAAATAAAAATTAATTTTTTTAATATTATTTAAATTTTTAAAATATTTTTTGATTAGTTATTTTAATATATATGTTAATAAATTTTTAAAATTTTCCATCAGAACAAATTTAATTCATTAATTTACTGAGGACCTAATGTATAATATTATTTTTTTTATTTAATCCATAAGATGAAGTTGAATCGAATCATCCATTTGAACAATTATAATAAAATAAAAAAATTTGAGAGTTACCCAAATCAAAATAAAATAAATAATGTTATAACATAAATTATTATTTAAAACAAATTAAAAGTGTTTTAACTATCGAACTTGTCATTTTATTTTATTTTAAATGAGTTTACTAAGTCATCCACGGTTATTGAAGAAAAAGAAAAATTATATACAAACATGCTTTGTCATTTTAAATTCAATAGTATATACGAACAAAAATTATATTTTAAACTATAGAATTTACTTTAAAAAGTTGAGTTTTAGAACTATTTTTTAATAATTCACTAAAAATGTCCTTACTACATATATATATATATATATATATATATATATATATATATATATTATAATATTGTAATTATTAAAAAAACTCTCAAATAAACAATATTTTTTTCTTTGATTTTCACATGTTAAAAAAAAAAAAACTAAAGTATTGTTTTTATTCTTTATTATCATGCAAAAAGTAGTAACATCACGTCTAAACAATTAAGCCTGTTTTTCATTATTAGCTACATACGTTTTATGAAAGTTTAAATAATAATCACAAATAACATCCTTAGGTAATTATGATATTATGTGTATATGTAATATCTGTAAAATATATTTATATATATAAATAATTATCATGACAAACATAACAATTTTAGAACTTTGAAAGATAATTTAAAAAATATATAATTTTAAACTAAAATTTACTCACAATTGATTAAGAAAAAACAATTTAGAAAGTTAAATTAGAATGCTAAAAAAAATCCATTTATTCTTAATAATAAAATCATAATTAATTCTTCATAAAAATGAAAAAAATATTAAACAGAACATGATGGAATTTTTGCCACGTGACTTCGAGCGAATAAATAAGCAGTTTTCGCAAGATCCTATTGTTTGTGTAACCCTTCAAAGCGATTACAGGAAAAAAAGAGAGAGAAGAGTCAAGCTGCGAGAAATGGCGACATCGCTTGTACGATCGGGTTTTCTTAGAACCGCCCTACGTGGAGGCGCTCGTGGCTCCCAGGTTTCCAAGCGAAACTTTTCTTCCGCCGGTCATCACGATGATGCTTGTAAGTACCTTATCATCTCTGTCTCATCTAACCCTATTTATTTTAGGGATTTAATAATTAGATCTCCTGCATTTGGTTTGTTTCGCGGAAGTGTGTAGTGCATTTGATCAATTTTCGTTCCTGAAGGGTTTTTGGATTTGACGGATTGGTCTAGTTCCTTTTTATTTAAGATTAAAAGAATTATGCGCTCAGTTTTTTGTTTTCTTAACTTTTAATTTGAACTGTTTGTGATCATATTCTTTCTGTGCTGGAATCGATTTGTAATTTCTAATTCTTCTCTTGGATGGATTAGAGCATTGATTTTACTTATTTGTTTGTTTGAATGTTCACGCGCTTTTGTTCGAAATGATAATAAATAAATCGATTTTCATTTTTTTTTTCGATTTCAAACGTCAGTTTTGAAACCGACAACATGGTTGCGTCTGAATGGATGGATTTAGCCTCAATGGATTTGTATTTACATTTCTATATATCAACATTTTTCAGATTTAATGAGCACAGTAAATTATCATTTTGTGTCTCACTTCACTGTAATGGTGACCTTTCTGTTAAGAATTTATGTGTATATTGTGTCGGGTTGAGATTGATAGATTTTGTTTACCACACCTATTTGTTTTGCTTTGCATGTTTTATTTCAATGCTTTGTTTTGTATTTTTTAATTATTTCTCTTTTCATTTTTTTCCCAGATGAGACGGCCAAATGGGAGAAGATTACATATCTAGGCATTGTCAGTTGCACTGCTTTAGCCCTTTATAATCTATCAAAGGGCCATCCACACACTGAAGAACCTCCTGTGAGCCTTTGTTTCAATACATCTGCAGTTATTTATGATTGTTACTGTGTATTTTGTTGTCTATCTATACACCATATCCAGTGCATGTTCGACCATATTCAGTTTGTATTATTGAAACAAAATTTTAATTTTTTACTTTTCTGTGCAGGCATACCCGTATTTGCATATCCGCAATAAGGAATTTCCATGGGGTATGTCTTCAATTCATGTTTTGATATCTATAATATGTAGCTTTCCCCAGCAGTAGTAATTATTCCTCTAAATATTTGAATTGCTTGGATTTTCTATCCTTGCCTTTAGTGGTGAAAAATTATGTTACCTATAGTTTTTTTTTAATAGTGTAGGAGCGGTTTGCATGACGTTTCCAATTTTTTGTGCATACTATGGTTCCAATTATCAAAATTTTAAAGTAGGACATTGTAGTAATAGCATTTTTTTAGTTGGAGACCTGCTGTAAAGGAAGTTTCTTTTTACTGCTTTCAGTTTTTACATATTTTTGTTTGCATGGCACTTGTCAAGCTCATCCGGCCCTTATCTAAGAATATTGAGAACTTAGCATTGATTTTTTTTTTTTCATAAGCATGGCAAGTTCTGCGCAACCCCTTCCTGTTTCTCGATCTCTGTTGATGAAGGGATGCTCATAGGCAAAAAGCTCACAAAGCAATAAACGAGTGTATGAGAAGTGACTCATTATTGCTTTGGAGAATCTCCAATATTGCTTTGATTTAGAGTTGCGCAAGTGTTTAGTTTATAATTTTATATAGGTGATACCATGGCTCATCAGCCTTAAAATAATTATCCTTTCCAATGATGTGAGATAAAGAAATTTGTCAAAACTAACACTCACAAACTATATATATATATATATATATATATATATATATATATATATATATATATATATATATATATTCACCCTTTTCACCATCCCCCACAGTTTTTCATTGATAAGCACCTGTTCATATTTAAGGAACAATTTTTATATGATCAACTGCTACACGAGCTCCTCCAACTGTTCCTTTTTTCATAAATTATTTTAAGGGAATTAAAGTTGCTTTTATGCCCAGCCAAGATTTCTCAGTGACTCGTTATACTTTGTTCATTGTGTGTGGATATATTTTTAATTTTATTATCACAGTATCACTGTTGAGGTTGTTGTTTATGCTTATACTTCTGTTTGAATATCTTTCTCCGTGAACACTTGTAGAAAATAATAAGAAAAAAAGAATGAAATAAACTTCTCTTATAAGCTAAACTTAAATTAATGTAAAGGTTAAAAAAATGTTTTTGAAGATCATTTAGTTTTCCAAAAATCTTGCATAATTTGTCCTTTTTATTCCCTAACTACTTCTGGAAAACATATATAGATATAAGAATTATATACAACATTAGAGGTTATTGTTAGCTTATACACTAGTAGCAGATTTGTGTATTTGCATGTGCTTGTCTTCAGATTATTGTTGGACTGAGATTTCGTATGACATGTTTCTTCTATGATAAGCAGGTCCGGATGGGCTATTCGAAACCAAGAAGCACCACTAGGAGTATTAGTGGTTTAATGAAGGAATTTGTGTCAATGTTCAAGAAATAGTGATTATTATTGCGGTTTTTGAATTGTGGTCTAGAACTTGCACTTGACAACTTTTGTGTGTCATGTTTCTATGTTGTGTTCTTTTGTATGGTTGACACAAAATAAATTTGTCTAACAAATTTATGCTTCTTTTTATAACGATTCTTGGTCAATAAATTTTGAAAGAAATTGATCGTAAATAGTCTATATTATGTTATCTCCCCAGTTTTCATTGTTTCGGTTTTGCGTGTTTTTAGGAATAGGTATTTAGCATCACCCATGTTTTCTGGACGATCTTTGTTTTTGTTTGGAATTTTTAAGTTACACAATCCATGTTAGTAAATAGAAAAAATTTCAACTTATAAATAATATTAATTGCGGTCAATGTTTTGCCAGTCGTGTTAACAACTGGACGTGGGAGTAAATTTTTTTGGTTCCGTCATTGTTAAATTTGACTAATTGGGCAGTTTCCTTGAAGAGATTTTGTATTTGAAGTGACCGTTTGATGGTGTATATATATTAATTTAAAATGTGTTCTTGTTTTAATTTAATGGAATTTAGTGAACTATGTTGGAATATATTCGTATATAATTTTTCAAAAAGTTTTACTAAAGGGTTTTCTTTTTTAATCTGCTATCATACCCTAAATTTGAAGACGTAATGCCGATATATCATTGCATTATATTTCTCTACATAAAGATGGAACTCTTGGCCAAAGAAAGATCATTCATCTTTATTACTTTTATTTAGTTAAGGATGAAATATTCTTTGACTGGAATCTGTCATGTAAACGTAAGAAACCCAAATCTTCAGTACAAAACCAAAAGTTTAATAATTTTAAACCTTATATTTTTCACACAAAAAAAATGGAGAACTAATTGCCTTTTATTTTTGAAATGGATGTGTCTAAATAGTAGTCAATATTTCGTTGGAGCGGAGCGTTCCTTGGAGCTCACAATTTATATCTTTCTTTGTTTTTTCCTTTTATAACTGGTCAGACTTCGTAGCCAGAAGAAAAGGAAATCTGAAAGAAAAGAAAGGAAAGAAAAAAGATAAGTAAGAAACTGAAGGAGGATAGCCATCATTAGTGTATGGATAGTTATTTTTCAGTTTTATGGATTATATACATATATAATATTAATAAAGAAAGAAAGAGAAAAAATAAAACCTGAAACACAGCTATGATTTGTGGATGAATTTTTTTATTTTAAAATTTCATAAGTATATATATTATTAATTTATTTAATATATATACACTTAATATTAGTATAGCGGTTATTCTGTTATACGCCACACTTTGTCTTCCTAAAATGACAATGATGATGAGATGTATTAGTATAGTAGTACATAGATGTTCTCACCGCGGTCTGTGTCATTGCAACTTTGTTATACATCTTAAGAACTCATTCTAAAATAACGAATGAAAGGTGACCTAGACAATTATGAAGTACAAAAAGAAAATTCTGATAAGTATTCTGTTGGTTTTTTAAGGAATTTGGTGTAATTTAAATTTATCAACATAGGTAAATTTAATAAATTTACAAAATTATGAAATGACTTTTAATATAAATATTTTTTCTTTTTAATTCAAAAGTAGAAGTTAGTAGGACTTCTATTATTACTATATATAATAAAAATAAAAATAATTGTTATTAATAAAATAAATAATAATTATGTTATACTATTTAAATATTTAAAAATAAATATTAATCAATTATTATATTATTTTATTAATATTGTTATAATTATTATCAATTATAATATTTTAATTATATAATTATTAGTTTATTAATATTATAAATCATAATAATAATATATTCATTATAAAAAATATAGTAAATATCATTATTATTAAATATATAATAATATATTACTTTTTAATTAAAATATATTATTTTTTAAATAAAATATTTTATTATTAATCTATTATTAAATAAATTAAAATATAATAATGTTATTATTATAATTCAAACAAAAAAGTAATAATACTCTTCTTAATAATATTAATAATAAAATAAAATAAAAAATAATATTGATTACAATAATTATAATATTAAAATACATTATTATTAATTTTATTAAAAGATATAATAAATATTAATAATAGCAAAACTATTACTATTTTTAATAATACTACTAATAATAATAAATTATAAAAAAATTTTATGTAATAATTTATAAAAAATAATTTTATTAATAAATTTAATAAATTATTATTATTTTTTATTACTAATTAAAAAATTATTTTTATATTATTAATAAATAAAAATATATTATTTTTAATGTAATATTAAATAAATTATTATTATTAATATATTAGTAAGTAAATAAATTACTTATATATTAGTAAGTAAATAAATTACTTATATATTATTAAGTAAATAAATATATAATATTACTTATATATTATTAATATATTTAATAAAAATAATTAATCTTTTTATTATTATATTATTAAATATAATTTATTAATAATATAATTTATATTATTAATATTTATTATTAATATTATTATTATTCATAATAAAATTAAATAATAATAATTTTTATTATTATAACTGTTATAATCAATATTATTATTGATAGTTTAATTATATAAATAATAATATTATATTAATAATAAAAATATTTTTTATTTTAATCTTTATTATAATTTATAATAAAAATATTAAAAAAATAATATACTAATATATCAATAATTATTTTTAGTTATTTAAATAATATAACATTATTATTATTTATTTTATTAAAAATAATAATAATTATTATTAAATAGATTTAAAAAATAAACATATTATTGTAATAATCTTATTTATTCATAATAATAAAATTATTAAAATATAAAAAAGTAGAAGTTATTATACAATTTCTATGTAAATAAAATATACAGGCTTCCAATTAAATTTAAAAAAAAAAGATTATATCAAAATCGTCTCAGAGACGATTTTTTATTCGAAGTCGTGTGTGATAGCATACCTTATTTAAGTAATTTTTTTTTAATTACCCCATTTTAATAAATTTTTTAAAAATTACACCACATTGTTAAAAAAAAGCCCATTCTGTTCTCATTCTTGAAAGTTCAAATTGAAAACTATAAGGTATAAATTAGAAGATCATATTCAAACAAAAAGAAAAAGTCCTTCATCTAAGTAAGTAAAAAATTGAAATTAAGATAACCCAATAAAGATTATGTTAGACAAAGAACAGCTAATTAATAATTGTCATAATGTGCTATTAAAGCTATTTTTTAATATTTGAACTTACTTGAAAAAAAAAACTGAAAAAAATAATAATTATTACTTAATATCGTTTATTCAAGATTAAACCAGAATATATAACTCCTAAACGACGATATTTTTTTATTTATTCACATTCCCTTTTGTAGAATTTATTCAAGACCTGCTAAAATTATTATCTAAGTAAATAAAAACTTTAGTTTCAGCTCATGATAGAGATAGGAAAAAAATAGATTTTTGTAATTTATGGATTAGTTGACTAAATAATATCTAATGCAATTGCTTACAGAGATTGCATTTAATAAACATTACCATTAGAACAAATGACATGTAATTGCATATATAGACATTGTAGTTTGAGAAAATTATGCTCAGAATAGTATAAACGAATGAATAAAATGTTATAAGTATTATTAATATGGTGATTTTAAGTTAAACATTCACTTTATGTAGTTAATTTTTATTTATGAACATTTAAATCTATTTGGTTTTATAAGTCTATAACATTAATATATGTAATTTAATTAATCATCTATGTTGGTAGATCCTCCTTTAGACAATATTATAATTGTTGTTTAGAGTTGAAGAGTGGGTACAAATTCACCATAATGAGAAAGTTAATTAATGTATAAATGAGGGAAAAAACCTAATGTCTCCCTTTAGTTGGGGTTAAGGTAGAATTATATATATTTTTTAATAGAATCATATCGAGATTCCATTTAGTTGTCTCGGTTCAGAAATAGCCAATAATGGTTAATTTAACTTGCCCAAATCTAAATCTTTCATTACCGTGTTTTTTAAGCTCTTCTTCTATACGAAGGTGCAGTTGCTTTCCTAACGCAAGTGACATTTTAGCATGCAGGCGTTATGATAGTACTATCATCCTTGTACTGTGTTAGAGAAAGGTGAACTGCCTAGCTTGTACTATTATCATCTTTCTGTTTTTTGACTCAAATGTCATGGAGTCAAGGAAAGACAAAAAGGATAAAACAAGTACAAATTTCAAAAAGATGTAAGCATGACAAGACACGTGATGTTCTTTCATGGTATGAAATCCAGTGTAAGGTGCAAACTCGTTCTCTTCACTCTTTACACCAACTGTTGTTTTAAGTAGTCATGTTTTGTGGGGAAGAATTTCTTTCTCCTAACTGTTCTGTTCTCCATTCCATAATCTGGGAGATGTAAAAAGCGTATAATAAGCTAATTCATTGATCGCTTGAGAAAGCAGAACATATATTGGAGTCTTACCATTCATGTCATTTGATTAATCATGAATGACTTTCAATGTATTTAATAAACAATGCTTCTTTAACACACTCGAGATATTCAATTGTTCTATTTTCCTTTCATAAGATGGGATTCATATCGTGATTTTGCACTATATTTGGCTAATCCATTTATTTATTTATTTCAATCTTTTTAAACAAGTGCTTCACACACACAGTTATGATTCTATATTGTACTAGTTGCGATAATTTTCCAGTTCAAAACTAACACCTTAGACACTAATAATTTATGTGGTATATTCCAAACTATTTTCTCTTTGTCCCTATATCTTGTTTTTTGGCACGATTAATGATTTATAACTAAAATATTAGCCACATGATTCATGAGTTAATTTATGATTCAAGAAAAAGGTCAGTTCTGGAAAGATAAGGAACTCCACTTTGATGATATTATAAACGTGATAATTATTGTTTCCGTTGAAGGGTTCAGGTAAGATATGATGAATAGTGGATGATTTATACAAAGGAAAGGTCTTTCTAAATTCTTAATCTGACCCTATCTGTGAAAACAAAAAACTTGATATCATAATAGCCAACTAAAGAAACAATACATGGCTCAACAAATTTGGAAAAAGTAGGATCAAAAGAAGCGCGGGATACAATTATTCTATCTGAATTATCACTCTGCAGCAGTATCCTTAATGTGATTGCTTTCTTCATTGGATTGTGGTAAAGTTCCCAAATCCACGCGAGATTCTTTATCCTCCTGAGTGATTGAATGATCAGTACTTCCTCGATCATTCATGTTAGAATTGCTAACACCATCGGAGTGTGCAGATTCCTCCTCTTTTTGTGACTCCACTGTTTTATTTTGAGCACCATCTTCATTTTCACTAGTTTTGCTCTGAACTGTGTTCTGATTCTCACCCTGTCCTGCATCAGCAGTGTTATTTGAAGATGCATCTTTCTCTTCAGGAATGGATGAACCCGAAACATTATCTTGTGCTTCACCATTAGCATTCCCATTGTCATTTCCATTATCATTGTTTTCAGAGCCATTCTCGTTAGAATCACTACTGTTATCTGCGTTTGAGGATTCCTCTTTGTTTTGCACAGATGTATCAGACTGGTTAGCATCATTGCTGTTATCCGAGTTTGAGGATTCCTCTTTGTTGTTTTGCTCAACTGAAGTATCGGAATGGCTAGCATCACTGCTGTTATCTGAGTTTGAGGACCCCTCTTTATTTTGCTCAGATGAAGTATCAGACTGGCTAGCATCTTGGTTGTCATTAGCACTTCCATCACTGTTTGTGTTGGTTTGATCAGCATTGCCATTCAGCGGAGTATTGGTATTACTTTCTACATTTGCGGATTCATCTTTCTTTTGTTCCGAGGAAGTATCAGAAGTGAATTGAGCATCATGACTAGCATCCTTGTTGTCATTATTAGATGATGCAACATTTTCCTGCTTTCCTTCTTGAACAGAATTGTTGTCGGGGTTTTCATTCTGAGCAGAATTACTCGTTGTGTCCTTGTATTCACCATCATTTGCATTACTGTCATGTGTTTCAGCTGTCTTCCCCGCTGCATCGGAGTTAGAAGAAGAATAATCGGTTTTTGGTGTTGTATTCTGCTTGCTGGAGTCCTCCAACTTGGAGCTGTTTTCATTTTCTAATGCTTCAGTTGTACGAGTTGATGTGTCAGTCTGATTCTGCAGTGATGAATCTGGAGTTTCTAAAGCATCCTTTGAGGAGTCATTTTTCTCTTGCTGCTTCCATTCTGATCCTGACGTGGAACTTTTTTGTGACTCATTCTCTAACTGAGCCTGATTTTCAGCATCACTTTCATTTCCTTGGCCGTTTGTTGTGACACTAGCATGAGTCCCTTCTGTAGTTTCATCATGTTTGTGAGACTCTAGCTCAAACTCATTGTTTTCCTTTTTATCAGATTCTTCTTCTGTCTTAGAATTTGAATTTTCATCTGAGGTGTCTTGCGATTTATGGTCTACAGCACTAGAGGCATTATCTCCAGCATAATTTTCCTCTCTATGCTCCTCCTCATTTTTCCCCCCATCCTGAACCTGATCTTCAGATGCAATCTCTTCCTGAACTTTGTCTTGCTCTTCCAACCCAGTTTCTCCTTGATTGCTCTCATATGTCATTTCTTTACTATTTTGCTCATGATTTTCCTCCACGTTGTCCTTCCCTTCAGAATCATTCTGTTTCACCTCTTCATTCACCTTATCTTTATTTTCTGTCTCTTCTTGCTGACTTTTCTCTTCTCTAGTTTCTCCAGTTTCATTGTCCTCCACTTCACTTTTATTCTCTTCATTCTCCTTCACTGCATTGTCACTCTCCTTGTTATCCATATTGTCATTCTCCTGCCAGCTCTTTTCTTCTTTAATTTCTCCAGTTTCTTTGTCCTCCACTTCATTTTTGTTCTCCTCATTATCCTTCAATGTACTCTCACTCTCCTTGTTGTCCATATTGTCAATCTCGTCGACAAAGTTCTCATTATGCTGTTCACCTTCCCCTTCTGTCCTAGCATTTTCAGAATTTTCTTCATTTTCTTGGTCTATTGAATCCTGTCTGTGCTCAGAATTCTCTTCGTTGATACTTTGCTCATCATGCTTCAGGACCTCATCTTCCACACCATTCACATCATCCAGTTTGTTTTGCTCTTCGTGCTTGTTTTCTTGTTCATCCTCCTCCTCCTCTTTGTGCCTTGCATCTATCACGGAGGTTTCCTCCACGCGAGGATGAAGGTCCTTCCTCCCAAACTTGATAATCTGACCGCTAGTCTTCGTGTCTTCAACAAAGGATGATTTCTTCTCATTAGAGTGTTTGATTTGGTAAACCAGCCAGATACAAACGCCAAGCAGAACACATAACTGTAGAGCATGCTTCACCTTGAAGCCTTTGGATCTTTGACTCCTCCGGGGAGATAACCTGAACATGTTGGAAATTCCTCACCCACCAAACTTTACTTCTTTCTAAGGTACCTGCTCATGAATATTAAATTCAGAGGGACTCGCACAATCACACCTAGCAACTCAACGTAACTGATAAGCATGAACTTGGCAAAGGAATGAAATATCTTCAAATTTAAAGGTTTATCTATGTATTATAAACAAAACATAATTTCTATCAGTAGAGCTGCTGATATTAAATTACACAAGGTTTATAAAATACAAGGCCACATCTACCTACTCATCAACAAATCCTAAAACACCATGTTTGAAAGTAATAAGATTATGCATACACATCAGAATTTCAAATCAATAGCAGAGCAAGATAGACCAAACACCATAATATAAATCTAGATCAACAAAGGAACATGTGTATGAGAACAGAAACAAAAATAAAATAATATACATGACAATCTATGCTGGCCTTCACACGTGTACCCAGATCCAGATTGGCTCTTCCAAAGAACATCATAATTGAGTTAGAAATTTCAACTAAATAAAAAATGAATATTCCTAGAGTATTCAAGAATTGAACATTCATACATACAAGAATTGCAACATTCATACATACATACCTGATACAAAGAGAGTATTCAACGAAGAGGAATCCTTTTTTGTGGGATAGGGGCAGTGCTTACAAGAGGCAGTTGCACAGCATCCTCTTCCACAACACTGAGAATGAATAAGAGATCACAAAACCTTAATTTGTGTTTGCAGTTTCTCTCAGTGGAATGCTTCTGGATCTGATTCCTTTCCAGTATCAGGAATGGAAAACGGATTTAAAAATAATTTTTCACTGACAAAATGGGAAATGACAATGCCCTGCGTCTCACTTATTTATAGCAACTCAACAACGGATCTCAAACACAATTTTTTTTTTTACATATATAGGTTAATCTGTTTAACTGTTTTTTCACTCAAAGGAAAAAACTTTAAATTCTCCAGTCCAAAACGACGCTGCCATCCCAAAAAAAATAAAATAGGAAGAGACCGCCTCATGTGTGCAGGCGGAAAAACAATACCACTTGGTGGATCCAAATACGACACGTGACATCCCACAAATCCTGACCATCGATGATGTCGGTTACACTCCTCCACCGTCCGATTCAATGAACATAAAGTTGTAGAAATAAAATAGAAAATAAAATACATGCATAAAAAATGTATATATATATATATATATATATATATATATATATATATATATAATTTTTTTTTCATATATAATTACATATTAGATATAGGCTTAAATAAGTTTTATGTACTTAACAAAACTTTTGTTTGAATTAGACATTTAGTAAATATAAATTTAAATAAGTTTTATGTACTTCATAAAACGTTTGTTTAAATTAGACATTTAGTAAATAAAAAATTTGATAATATGTATTAAATGTTTTTATTATCAGTACAAATAATATATGTCCTAATAATATATAAAATTTCATTTTTGTTACTTTGCCATGTCCATAGGAAAGAGATGAAATCGACGTTGGTTGCTTCCAATTTCTACCAACGCAAAGCCTTATTTTAGTAACAGATATTTTGAGTCCCAAAAGCCATACAATCTAAAAACAACCCTTTTTTAAATATTATAATAATAATTTTAATATATTTTTACTTTTATTAAATTATTTTATTAATAAAAATGGATTGTTTTGAGAATTGCATGTTTTTTTGAATTGTAAAAATATTACTTCTCTTGAAACAGTCTCGAATAGTTATCGTTTCAAAAAAAAATCAAGGTAGTTATTAGCTGAGATTATTTTTAGAATACAGAAATTCATTTGAAAAGATATTTTAATGAAATTTTTATAACCACAAAATAACTAAATTGAATACCTGATTATATATTTACAAAATAAAATTATTAATCAAATTATATCAAACTAATAAATAAACCTGTTTGAATAGGTCATTCATGATATTAGCAAGGAAGTTTAATTCGTATATATTGTAACTACTCAGTTGCAGATTTGATTGAGAATTGAGGAGTGATGTCAATTTTTGTAATTTCTATATATATATTTTTTTCTCTTAAACTTTAATATATTTATTTATATATTTATAATTTTATTTTTTTATTTTTTTTAATTTTATAATTTTTATATAATTTATGATTTTATCTTCCTTAAATTTAATAATTATTTTATATATTTATAATTTTATCTTTTTACCTTTTATTTTCTTTCATATTTTTATATTTATTTATTATTTTTTAATAATATATTATTTAACACTTATATTCAATAGTCAATATTTATCACTGGCATTACTTATAATAGTTTTGTATAATTCTGAAGATAATATTTTGAAAGCTGATAAATTGATTTAAAAAATCATTTTACAATTAAATGAAATGTAAAAATTGTCATTGATTATCTAGTCTAGTGACCTTGAAAAACAATGATTGTATTTAGAGTTGATTTTGTTTTGTGAGATCAACGTTGTACCCTTGAAAGTGTACCAAAAAAGGAAAATGGAAGCTGCTAGTACTGTCTCAGTAATCAGCAGAAAGTTGTGCTATATCAAATGTTTGAACTGTTTTTGTAGGACACAATATTAACCACTTAATACTCTTCAGATGTATATTTGGTTAATGTCTTGAGACTCTTCCGTGACAACGTGGTGCAGTAAATTGGTACTAATAACTTTTTTCTGCCATGGATCTTAATTTTCTTTCAGAATTCAAACTTTATTGCTCTTTACAGTCCTGTAAGGGTTATGTTTACAATTTTTCTACTTACATAAAATATTTTCTAGTGGAAAACACACTCCCTCCACCACCAAAAAATCTACAATTAGGCACTTATTTGTGCCTTCGTCCGGGTTAGCCCAAGTGGGTAGGCAGTGTTAATAGAGAAGACAAAGTTAATGTATACTTGTCAAATCTAATGACATTATTGGCCCACTTTAATAGAACAAGGTCTCATTTTCTAACTCATGTTGCATTGTTAACTGATTTCTTTACATTCAAATAAGTATATATTTATTTTCTACAGGATTTTGCCATATTTTATCTCAAAATGAATCAAGACAAAAAAATAAAATAAAATTATTTGTTTAAAGAAACAAAAAAATATTATTATCTTTCTGATCAAAGTAAAAATAAAAAGTGCTCTAAAAAAATTATTATGTCTATAATTAAACTTTAATTAAAAAAATTATCTTGGTATTAAATATAAATATATATATATATATATATATATATATATATATATATATGTATGTATGTATGCTTGCTTTTATGTTTATTATGTTGACGTTGTTTTTCTAACATAAATAAATGTCACAATTATGATAATGTATCTAATAAAGTTCATGTTTTTGAAGTAAGGAGCCGCATATTAAAATGTTAACGATAACTTCGTTACATGGTCCATATAACGTAGAATTGATTTTGAATTAAAATAACTTTTGTAATAAATAAGAATTTTACACTACTTTTTACTATTAAATTGTTTTTAGAGGAAACAAAATGTAAACATAAATGACATGATTTGATGGTAAGCCTGTTGCAGTTACCTGGTTTACTTATCATGGTTTACGCTACACTATTCAAAATGTGTGCACTTGGACAATATAAGAGATTAGGAAAGCTTGCTAAACATGTTTGGGCATCGCATATTTTTTGTCTTGCCATGCTAACAGTTTGCGAAGCTGCCAGAGTTTTAGACTGACACCACTCTTGTCGTATCTCTGAAGGTAGTAGGTGCTCCATCTGTTACTGTTTGCTTGTCATGATTTTTCAAGTTTCAACCATGAAATAACATAATTGCAGTTTTTGTATGTCCTAAAATTAGCAACCTAACTTAAGCCCTTTCACTCTGCTACTTCGTTAATGTCTTTCTTTCTTCTAATAATTTTTAGTTATTGAAAGATACACGTGTTTACCTTAATTCTATAAGTATTCAAAAAGGCGGAATGAATAGTTGAATATAATGTGATGTGGCGATTCTGAAAGGATATTGCAAAGGAAAAGCCCATTAGGTAGAGAGGTGGAGGCCCAAAAGTGGGTATCTTTATGAAAATGAATAAAAAATAAAAACGCGGTGAGAAAGGCGATAGACAATGATGTGGGTGCTTTATGACTAAGTGACGCTGCTACTTCAGGTTGGTTCAGGCCAATCAGCGTCAGATTGGAAATAGAGTATGACTTGTTTTTCCACGCCACACCACACCACAGGGATGGGGTAATTTCAAAACCCGTTAATGATATTTACAGCACAAAAAAACTTGAACTAAAGTGAAAGGCATGAGATGATAAAAGAATCAGAATCCTCTTTTGGTTCACGTGGTCCCTCAGCTTTTCAGTTGAGTCTGTCTCTCTTCACCTTTGCACCAACATTCTCTTTTATCTTTTTGATTCTAGCCAGGATAAATAAATAGTTACTCCATGTTCCTCTTCTTACCTTCCCTTGATCCAAACTCAGTGACCCTACACTAAGGTTTAAGACTTCGAGTTCTATCATAACAGAATTGGTATTCACTTTTAACGAATAAAGCTTCTGTTCTTTCTCCAGTCATTTTCTCCGCAGAAGATAATTTTTGTTTTGTCTCTTTTAGGTTTTAACCATTTTTCTTAGATAGCTTATTACACTGACTTGATCATGATTCTCCCATGCATAGTTTCCTGGTTAATTCTGAATCTTTCACGTGGCCTTAAGTTGTTTAACAAATTCAACAAATATAGATTGTACATGCGCTAAGTTTTATGCTGGACCTATTTATAGTTACAGAAATATAGCATTGACCTTTCTCCATTCTGCTTGATCTTCTTTCTTCATCAATCTATACTCGGTCACAGAAAAAAAAAGCTACGGTATATGTGGTTCTAATGTGGTTCTAATGTGCTTCATGACTTATCCTATTTTTAATAGAAAAGAGCTTACAATTAGTACATTATATAGAACCGATTATTGCAAGGGATACTTATAAAATTAGACGATATATTCTTCTAGCCAAGAAGGTTCCAACCATAATATCAATCCCACATAATACAGTAAAAAGTGTATTGACAAAATTATACACAAAAAAGCTATTTTTTACTTATTATTTTTTTGTCAACTCTTTATTTTTTTACAAAATGATTTAATTAAAACGTTAAATATATTTTTGATTTTATATTTGTTAAACTTATGATTCTTATTTTTTTAAAGTTGATTTATTAATTCTTACACGTAATTAATAAAAATTGAGGATTTACTTTTTTTATCAAATTTATTACTGATTAACGGTTATTAAATATTAAATTTAAATATAAAAGATTAAAATCACATATTTTATAAATTTACGACAGTTAAAAATTAAATTAATTTTCCATATAAAAATATTTACAAATTTAATTCTTCAATTCAAAAATAAAAAAATAATTTTAAAAAAGTATACACGAACAAAACGAAAGGTATACTCATCCTTGATTTTATTATTTATTTTGTTAATTTACATTCCATTACTAATAAAATGTTCCATTTGCGAACAAATAACATCACAGATACATATTCTAGCACTGATTACAGGCAATTTTGAAACTGTTGCTATTTAAATTTTATATTGCTAAAATTTAAATACATATAATAACAAAAGAAAAATTTACCATGGATAAAAACGATACTATATTTTTTCAAAACATAAAAGAATCTACAGATGGCATAATTCATTGAAATATTTTTATTCTTATTTTATTTAATAAACCCTGCGCAAATCGATCAAGTTATTGAACCTGACTCAGGACCTATTTTTATCCTTATTAATAACTTGTATTTTTTTCAAGGAAAGAAAAAACTAAAGCAGATTTCGTACATAACGAGTGTTCTAACTTGTATCGTGTAGTCATGTCTGCAGAATAAATATTAAATCTGAGATTCAGCACGATAGGATGTAAGAACTAGGAAAGACGGGACAGTGCAGAATGTCATCTACCTTTTCTCATCATCTTTATTTTCATTTTAATGTCAAACATTTCTATAAATAATTAGGGAGCCCCTTCTGTTCCATCCTTCTTCACTCCTAAAATGTGAAACCGGAAAACCTGTCAACTTTACATTACTCAAAAATAGCAGTTAATCTCATGCATCCTCGTCACAATTCATGCAACAATCAATGCTATACAAGATGGAACCTATTAAACTACATTAGTTTTACATCATCTCTCTCCTTATCTTCTTCTCATTGTAAGTGGTAGAAATCATCTCCCAACTTGGTTTTCTTTCAGTATTTATTAACCATCATTTTTGGAAAAGCTGGCAGAAAAATTGGCCTTCAATACACCTGTTTCGGTTTGATTTGTGGAGATCCTCTTCTTCCCTTCTGTGACCAGTGATAAGTGTTTGGTTTCTGTAAAGCCATCAAGCCATCCTATGTTATGTTACCACATTGGTAAAACATTTATCCAAAAAACAGTGTATTAGAAATCATTTTACCTGCTTAATAAATATGCACAATAATTTACCTCTGAACTTTTGAAGTAATTATTATAAAAATTATTAATTTATCATATGTAATAATTTATTTTCTCATACACTTGTAAGTATTTGGAAAAATTTTAAACTAATAGGTCAACAAAACCAAACAAGTGTAAAGTGGTTAATCTTGTCTATATCCATTCTAAATCAAGGGCATTTGACAGTTCAGATGAACCATGAAAGCAATTCAAGACCCGCTGAGTAGAACTACGAAGAAGTAAAAAAAAAGCAATCTTTGACATTCGGAGTTAATGTAAAAAAGACGGAAATCAAAGGATAGGATGTCAATTTTTTCGCTGTTGCTTCCTCTGTTACACATTGCAGGGGTGGCTGCTATCAAAAAGTACTGACAATAAAATTTGTCAATCAGAAAAACTAAACTAAAAACAAAAGAGAGAACAGCAGGGCATGGCATTAGATTTTCAAAATCAAGTGTACTGATTGTAGACTTATGGACTCCGTTAATGGGACATGTTAGGTGAAATATTTTTTAAAATCTCAACTTATAATAATATCTATTTCTTCTTTTGATATCTCTCACTCTCTGTAGTACTCAAACTGTGGGAAATAATTGTTCACAGAACAAATCACAAGCAATGTTAGAACAAATAAAGCTATAAAGGAGGGCCTCCGGGGGCTATGAAATAATTTACATAGTAAATTAGATGAAATCTTGATCGTCAGGGTGAGGAGAATAGGAGGAAAAAACTCAAACTATAAAAGGCTCCCAAAAAACTAAAAAGAATCACTTCAGGGTCTATAATCATGTACATAATTGACAAATTGATATCCTTAATATATAAAAGATGTAATAGTGATACAATGGGATTCAGGGGTTGAAAATAAGGTTCCCACATTTGCACTTCCAACTCATGGGCTTGTAGTTGGAACTGCCACCAACCCTGGCATATGCAATTGAAGAAAACTTGGGGGAGTTTTTCTTTCCGTTCTGCGCTTGGGGGTTTGTGGGCACCTGAATTGCCTCACAGTGCTCACATGATCTGCACCTTCTCTCACATTTTGGTGGCCTCGACCCTATTCTTGGCCTCACTATAATTTTATCGTCACTAACTGTCTGCACAAATCATCATAATTCCAGTAAACAGAAAATAGCATTTCCTTATATTAAGAAACTCAACAGAGAAATGAAAAAGTTCCCCAGGGAAGCGAAGTTTTACCTGATGAAAATCACTTAGTCTTTTAGTCTTTCTACCTGTTTGAACATAGAGATAAAGAAAATGTGGATGCTTGTTAGAGTTGGTTTCTACTTACTATGCACTGAAAAGCTTTAAAAAGTTATCATTTACCTTCAATAACCAACCCCTTCTGGATCCAGCTTGAAATAATCAGAAAAGAAAAACAAATGCAAAGGAAGCCAAGTCTTTGACCACAGATGACATGGTGATCAAAGCCCATTTCAGGGAAAAGGGGAAGAATGAAACTTTTGTGAGCGTGGGAAGGTAACTGGGTGAGAGAGGACTTGAGCAAGAGAATATGGAATTTGGTGCTCTAATTATAAGGAGGAGGGAAAGAAAAGAGTTGATAGAAGAGAAAGAGGATTTAGAATTTAGTAAGCGAGGGAATGGACGAAAATAATGGGATGAAGTGAAGACCAGTAACCGAATGACACTAGCAAGTAATATTTTGCCAAGATTTGTTTATATTGTTGAGGTGATGGAACATGGAAAGACAAATGAGAAAATTGCAGAAATGGAAGAAAAGGAGGACCCCTGAAAAGGGAAACACTTGTCCTTCGGTTGGCGAGCCCCTACTCAAACAACAACCCGAGATTGTATAATAATTGTTCGAAAGAAGAAGCATCACAACCCTGAGGGCTGCAAGTAGATGATATGAAGGACAAAGAGCACCACAAACAGAAAAACGCCACAAATTTCACGAGATGTGAGGGACAAGTTCCCACTAACGGACATGCATTTACAGCTGTGGATTTTCGGTTCTTCGTTTCTTATACATGCATACATGCACACACAAACATGTGAATATAATATAATATTATTTTGGTACATGTTTTTACTTTTTTATTTGATTTTAACTTTTAATATATAGTGGGAAGGTGGTGTGGTACACTTTTATGGGTTATCTGTACTACACACCCTTGCAGTCCCACCTTCTCACGGCACATCCTTCTCTCTCTTTGTCTCTCTGAGAAAGAGAAAGAACTTTACAAAATCTCTTGCTCCTTGTTATGGCTTACTATAATCTTTTCAATCTATAATTATTAAGCAATTGCATGAAATAATGGAAATCACTGTTCTTGATAGATATTAAAATAAAACTCATCAGTATTAAGATTGAAGTACGCGGCAACTACACTACTTTAGTTACAATGATATGCAGAAGTTGCTTATGCAGAGGTACTACTTAGATACTTGTTCATAATGTATTGTTTATGGCTATATCTATTGAAATTAGAAATTTTCTAGACATGAATTAAGAAAGTTTTATATTGAAATTCAAATTGAACTAAAAGATAACATCATGTTAGTTATCAATACCAAGTATAAAGTAGTTCATATATCAAACCAATTTGGGATTAAATTTCACTTACCCAAACTATAATATATTATCTTAATTATATATATATATATATATATATATATATATATATATATCAATTTTTATTTATTTATACTACAGTTCTTTTTCTTAGATATCAATATCTTAAGTAATTAATAAGAGAATTGTCTCACGAGCAAACATATATAAAATATTTAAAGAGAGTCGTTAACAAAAATTATTTAAAAATAGAATAAATATTTTATTATAAATTATATATAAATTTAAAATTATTTATTTAAATCATTTTTTTCATTTTAATTAATTTTTTCCTATAGTTCATATATGACATTTATAATAAAATATTTAATTTTATTCATAAACAATTTTTTACTAACAATTTCCTAAATGCTTTAATAAGTTAAATTCCATTCCTATATATTCAACTTACGAGATAATTGTACTGGTTTGTTTATATTTAAAATTTTTGAGTTTATTAAATTTATTTGAAAAAAATATTTTTAATCAAAATATTAGTGAAATTGTGTTTATGTTAATTTTTATGAAATAACTTTAATTACGAATATAAGAAGATAAGTGAGATTCAATTATTTTGTTATAAAATAAATTATAAAGATACTTCTTAGTGAATTTTTGTGTTTAAGCTTTAAATTATGATTTCTCAATTTAAAAAATAAATTCTATTGATTTTTTCACCTGTAAGTTTTTTTTTTTAATTTGTTGAACGAACTAGATTCGTTTGGCAAATTAGAGATGAATTGAATTTTATTTTTACCCAGAAATTTGTCTTCAAACAAAATTCAATGCTCTTTGTCCAATTTTTTCTAAGCAATTTGGTCTCCATTTGTGAATTTCTTCAAAAATTGGGTTCTCTTAGTTTTTTTCGTCATTCCATGCCTTTGTTTTGTTGGGTTGACTTACTGTGTTAGTGGTGATTTGAATGAATTTGAGTGGTTTAATTTAAGTTAATTGAGACTATTCCAAAATAAATTATTTCAAAGGAATTTTATTCTTTAAGATGATAAAATTTGAGCTTAATGATATGACCTTCCTCCACTATGTATGATTCTATTATGCTATTTGTGACTACTCTCTGTGCCCAAATTTGTCTTTTAATTTAAATTTATTCCATTTGTGCAGCCATTTATTATTGAATTATCATTTTTAAGAACACTAATATTCAAATAACTCATTTTTATAAATATTTATCCTATCATTTCTATTTAATAATAATAATATAAAAATTTAAGATTTTTTTATTATAAAAAATTGTTAAATTGTTGTTTTTTAAAAAGAATTTATGAACATTTACTTTTCCATTTAAGCCATTTACTATTGAATCATCAACAAGCGAATTAGTTTTTTTTTCTTAAATTTGTTTTGTTTTTTTTTACTTGTTCGATTTTCTTTATTATTTTTTATTATTAAATTTATATTAACAAATAAATACTTTAGTTTTCAAACACCAAATTATTTTTATTTTCTATATTAATTTTTTCATTTTTTACATAAAATATTAAAAAAATAAGGATAATTTTCTCTTTAAACAAGAATACGCAGCAACCCTCTTACACACTTTCTACTCATTTTTTCCACAGTTTTTATTAAATCAAATAAACCTCACTTTCTAATTATTTTCTCTTTTTTTACAACTCACTTTTTATCTGACAAACACAATAAGGCATATAATACTTTAAAAAATTTTGTTCATGTATCATCATCACAATATTTGAGATCAATGTACCATAATTTTCTTATTCAATATCTAACCCATTTTTACATGCTTTATTTACAAACTGACAATTTAAAATGTAATAAAATTTTAAAATTAAGAAAATTAATTATATCGTAAAAATGTAATGATTTAACAAGATAATCAATATTTGGTTAATGTATGATGGTCAGCTTCATGTTATTATTATATAGTTTGCTTAAAGTAAAAGTTTATAGTGGTATTAGTATCGTTTTTATGTTGTATTTATCGTTTTTATATACCATTTATTTTAAATAGCACATTTCTTTTTTTTTTTTCAAAGTGACCTATTACAAAGATGAGAAATAGGAAAAACATACAATTACTTTTATTTTCTTCAATTTAGTAGTCACAATTTGGTTGATAGTGAATCAATTCCTCTATTGCATTTTTTTTTATAAACTTAGTCATGGCAAAATGCGGTAGGCTAACGAGAAGTGGTTTTGACCTTAGTCAAGCGGATTAAGAGTTCAATGGGATAGGGTTTTGCATATTGGTTGTACCATTTTACAAATTATTTACATATTAAAATTAAAATAAAAATTATTATTAAAAATATTTTTTTTATGATATGTTATTGAAATATATAAATATATTACATATTATAATTTAAATTATAAAAATTAAATAATTAAATTTAAATTATTAATTATAATTAGTTATTTTAATATATAAATATAATAATTTTTTAATTTATTTAATGAAATATTAATTAATAAATAAAAACTTAAAAATTATTCATATAATTAAAGATGTATTTAATATATATATATATATATATATATAAATTATTATATAAAAAAATTATTGACCGATTGACTCGTTGATGTGTCAGTCTATTTTTTATGGACACGAATTAAAATTTATAGTTCATTCTTATTATGATGGACTAATTCGTCTCATCTCATTTTCTATGGATAAGAGGTGAGGTAGAAAAAAAGAGCAGACTGATCCGTTTTATCATTCTTAAATAAATTATCAATTTCTTAAATCATCCATTTAACATAATTTATAATAACTGTTAAATTAATATACGATATTTGTGAATTGATCTGTAGTTTGTCTTAATTATTTTAGATGACTGTAAATAAGTTTTGTAATTATTTAGTTGTGAATGTTTATTAAAAAAATATAAATTTACAATTTTAAGTTATTTGAAATAATTGATTTTAAATAATTTCTTAGTTGTGTAGATATTGTTTTTTAATTTTTGTTAATTTTTTTATTAAATCAAAATAGAATTTTGTTTTATAATAACTATTGATATTTATAATTACAGTATTCTTAATATAATTATACTAATAAAATAATTTACTTTTTATTGGATGAGATTATTTTTTAAAAATATGTCAGGTAAAAGCAAGAATTTGAAAAACACAACAAAACTTATTTCATTGGGTTCAATTTTACATGTGAGGTAACAAAATGGAAAGACAAAAATAATAAATAATATTTCCATCCTTCAAATGTTCATAATTTTGAAGAAGTTTTTTAATAATATTACTACTGTTGTAAAAGATAAAACATTTAAGATTCACTATTTAAAAAGTTATTTATTTTTTGTAAATTTTTTTGAAAAATTTGTAGAAAATTTAAAAATTACAAAAATAATTTCATGAAATATGATAATTTTTTATAGCGATCATAAAATTAATTTAACCCATTAAAGGATACACTTGTCTATAATTTAATATTATAGATATTACTATTAATTATAAACATTTAATATTTTAATTTGAATTTTCCATACAAAATTAATTATTAAATAATTTAAGAAATTGTTTATGTAGGTTTCAATTATAATAATTTATATTTTAATTAAATTAATTATAAATAAAGTGTGGCTTTTTTTTACAAGGATAATAGGTAAAATAAAGATATTTTATATATAAAATAATTTATATTACTAATTTTTTTACAGGATATATAAAAGAAGAAAATTTTTTATTTATTTTTTATTTCTTCTATTCTTACTACAATTATATAAATATTTATATTGTTGTTGGAAACAAATTGATTAAGGAATTTTGATGAATGGTAGGAGGCATGCTGAAGGTGATCACTATTGGTCCATTTAACATGATAGGAGTTCGCATATTATATGCAGATGTTAATATTGATAACTTTGTCCCTTTAAAAGTAACCAAGTTGTCAATGATGTTTGTGTTCCAAGTAGTTACTGGAAAGAAGACAAAGATGTTTGCAAAAAAGAGATTTGAGATATTTGGCGCCTCCGTTTACTTAAGTTGATATTTAAATATAACATGTACAAAGATCACAGTAGGGATTGAGAACAATTATTATTTAAACCTTATAGTATATATATAAAATATGTTTTTCAACTTCCTCAATACATTCTATATTATGAAAATTTAAATTAAATTTATAGTGACTACTACGGATAAATGAGCTCAAATTTAACCACATTCTTAATGATAACTACTCATTTCAATTCCCAAGGTTCAACCTCTATCTATAATATTATCAAATCTTCATAAACAAATATTATTATAAAAGAAAAAAATAATTATAAATTAATAAATAGGACTAGTATATCACTATAGATAAAATAAATAAGACCGAGTGTAGACTAGAGATAGATAAATAAATATAAGACAGGACCAACACGTAACTGGAGATAATTAAAATAGGACCAGTGTAAGATTGAAGATAAATAAATAAAGATAAGACAGGACCGTAACTGAAGATAATTAAAATAGAACTAGTGTAAAATTGGAGATAAATAAATAAAGATAAGGCAGGACCAACACGTAACTGGAGATAATTAAAATATGACCAATATAAGATTGAAGATAAATAAATAAAAATAAGGCAGGACCAAACCAACACAT